TCTCTCTCTCTCTCTCTCTCTCTCTCTCTCTCTCTCTCTCTCTCTCTAAAAAATGTCCTCAAGTCGATCTGTAGCTAAACCTGAGTAGTAAAGACGTAAACAGGTCCTGCTCTGTGGTTCTGATGCGGCTTCACCTCTTCGCTCTCTCTCCAGGAAGTGAGTTTTAGAAATGAGCCTCGTTGAGAAGATGATGAAGTCGATCAGTGTGGACCCAGATGGAGCGCTGGGTTTATCTCCCCGTTAACCTCATCAGAGGGGTGGAGCCATGCTGCTGATGGACGGAGCGTTTCCTCGGCTGTCTGTTTCTTTAGATTGTAGACCGGCTGGAGTCTCGGTATCAGCCGGTGCAGCGCTCTCAAGCTAGTTGGCTAATGAGTTTGTGTTAATTGGTTTCTGAGAGCGAGCGGAAATCTCTGAGATTCAATAACCGTGGAGATGTTAAGCTCCTGTTGCTCAGGGGCTTCAACCACGTGAGCTTCAAGACTTTGCCAGTTTGAAACACGTGTTTAACCCAACAGTGTGAACAGTCGCATCTGAACATTTTTAGGTTTAGGACCAAAATCTTTCATGAAGTAAAAACAAACTGTGAAAGGGTTAAAGTTGCAAGATGAACACTTTGCATTGGTGAATTATATCAAGACTCTTATTGTGAAAGAGCTACCGCTAAGTCTTTGTGATAAAAAGAAGATCTACAGAGAAACGACTAAACCCACTCCGATGTGGGTGAAGGTAAAATGTTCACAAACGTTAACACAATATAGGACTGCATCAGGACACTGAAGATGTAGATAAAGAGTTGCTGTGGATTGAATTGCTGAATCCAGAGGTCAAGTGTTATTTGTTGGGTATCAGAGCCGTGACACAGAGCTCGTTGGATCAGATAAATCCTCCGGTGGAGCTCTGGAGCTGCAGCTAAATGATTTACCTCCACAATAAAACCATTACCGTGGACTGACTGTCCATGTTCCAGCAGTTCCAGCTGCTTACCTCCACGCTCACCTCTGACCTGCTGCATCAACCTGCTGACCGCTCAGACGCACGCTACTGCACCAACATAAAGACGTGTCATGGTCAGGTCAACCTAACTCAGAAGTTGAAACCATCTTTATCAGTTATATAAAACACAACTAGCCATTGATAACTTTTATTTACCACGACTAAAGACTGCAGCTGAAAACAAAGACAGATAAGATAGAACTTTATGCAACCAGTGAACAGGAAGTGACCATATCTGGACTGAGGAGG